CTGTTGTTAGATCTTAGCAACATGTGGAATGAGGATGGGGGAGAATGTCCCTAGTTTTCCTGATGTTCCATTCCATCACAAACCACATGTCCACTGCTATGTCTAGAAAAGAAAAGCGCTGGGTATTCCATCATGTCAGGTCCAAGTGGTCTGACAGTGGTTGCTTCAAACACTCCCTTGCGCAGTCTGCTCTATCCACCCCTAGGGCCCTGCCTGCTGTCCCCTGCAGAAGGAGAAGGAGAAGGAAGGAGAGCTTGCTCCATATGCATTTCCATCCAGTGCTGCTGGGTTCGGCCCCAGCACTATTGTGCAGAGCTGTTCCTCGGGATCTCTATGCAGGGAACTTCAAAGGGGCAAGGACAGCCGCTGGGCTGCCCATCCTCTTCAAGCCTACCTGAGATACCTGTCCTCACTTGACATTAAAGCTACATTAACAGCACGGCCCCTCCGCACAGTCCAGATAAGGTGGCAGGCGTGTTTAGTAGTGGGAGCAATAGTAGCAATAGCATGTATTTTGTGGGTTTTTTTGCCAAGGACGGACCAGCTCCTCCAAAAGGATTGCTTTACTCTACAAGGATAACCCCCCAGGTTTTCACACTCCCTGCAAAGAAGAGTGAGCAGTATGTTAAAAAGCTCTTCCCAGTAGCTTATCTAAACCTGTCTTCTACTAATCCCCCACTTTTAGTCTTGAAATTAAAATATGCTTTCTTTCTCCTTTTATCGCGAAGTCACTCAGCAATTAGCCTGCTGAAGATTCGGGAAAATTTTAATTCATACTAATGAGATACACTTCTCTTCTGACTGCTATCTGTCCAAGGAGATTAGGAGGTGGAGAAAGCGCTGTTTCTAAATGGGGATGGAAAAACTGAACCTCCTTGCCAGGGTGCTGGGCACATCCCCTTCTGGAGCGCAGCTGGCTGTGTCCAAGGTCGGCTCCTCCGCTGATAAGGGCTGTTGTGAAGAAACACAGAAGCGAGGGCCTGCTCCTCCTGCCTCGTGGGAGCTGCTTTTTAGCTGAGGCTTTACCCCTGGCCCCTGCTTCTGCTACATCGTTGCTGTGCAGCAGTGATGCCTGCGCCCTGGTTCCTGCTGCCACGATTCTGGCCCTGACCCAGCTCCAGCGGCTCAGCTTCCTGGCTTGCCCTTGGACATGTCTTGCTGCTGCAGACTTGTTTGGTGACCACCCGGCTGTGTCTGATCCCGATCACTGCCCCGGACCTGATCCTGCCCCGCACTGGCTGCTCGGCATCCTGGCCCCTTGTCAGTGGGGGCTCTGCCCCGCTGGTCGTGCTGCCACGGAGCAGCACCGAGGTCCTCACGGCACCCCGACTCACTTTTGGCTTTCCAGAGAAGGATTTAATCCCATTCATTAATATTCCCTCCAGTTCATAACCCAAGTGAGACTGAATTGGCCTTGTGTGGCCACATGATGAAGCTGTTTCTGCCCAGCTCATTATTTCCAATGAGTAATAGCAGATTTGCCAATATTTATACTGCATCCTCAGTAAAAGTCAGCTTGTTTAAGCTGAAGTCAATATAAACTATACTGATTCATGCTGGCTGAAAAATCTGTCCATATCTTCTAAACACTTCAGTTGAGGTAAAATCCCTGCACCTTTAGAACAAGAAATATCTTGTGCTAATATCTCTGTGTTAATATTTACCCATTATATAGATTAGAGACTAGGGGAAATGACATTAGCACTTTCCTTCAACGCCATTTATAGCTTTTTACGGCTTCCTGACATTGATAAAGCGTGTTATGAAAAGCAGAGTCAGCAGGCTGAAGAAACTGACTGAGTTATGTTTTTATTAAAAGTATTATTCAGCTGTCATGCAATGTCACATTTAAACATCCTCACGAGCTTCTAGTGAAGCAGTGCCATATATGCAAACGGTCTCTGTTTCCACTGTTGCCTTCACAGTGGCTGCAAGGATAGCATGCCAGTGGACAGAGAAGGGAATGGGGACCCTGAAACTCACATCCACCCCTCCTGGTTTGTGGGTGACCCTGGGCAAAGGCACAGCACATATAAATTCCCAAGCTGTACGAAAGCAGTGTTACCTTCCAGATGGATATATCAAGTACCAAACAAATGTTTAGAGCCACCATTTTCACTCCATTTCTCATGTGAATAAATGCTCTCAGATTGATCTGCTTTATAAAACTAAATTCTGAACTCAGTTGTGATGTATTTTGTGGAGATTACTCGGACATCTCCCGTTGCAGTGTGTACCTCACGAAAAGCAAAGATACCTCTTTGCATACTGGACTCACCACCAGAACTGTGTCTCATGGAGGCACACCCTGGCTAGTTCAGGGACTACGTGTAGCTGTGCAAGCCTGGGACTCATGCTGCACTCTGTATTCATGCCGCTCCTTGGGTAGATTTTACAACCTACATTCAATTCCTTGCTCTACAGCTACATTACTGAAAATCCCAAAGTTCGGTACTGTGGAGCTGACCTGGAGTCACCTCAGTGGTGAAGCAAAGCATGTCCTTCAGCCTGCTATGACACAACAGGGCGATGGACAGCAGGAGGGACAGCAATAGAGTACCATGATTGACTGGGTCTGTGAAATGTGTTTCCATTTGAATCCGGCATTGTTTTGCGAGTAGAGATAATACCAATAAGCTTGTAGGAGTGATCT